TCTTGCTTGACATACAAAACTGCAGCAATTATGGGGCCAGAAAAGGGTTAACTTGGCTCTTGGCAGTGACAGCACTGTTGGAGCAGTGTCCTGTTCTGCTTCCCTGGCCTGGAGGCTCCTCTGTAGGGAGCAGAGATTAGAGCAGCACACAGGTAGGGGGTAGGGCCTAAGTTGTGGCATGCCTGCCAAAAAGGTTGGCCACCACTGCTGTAGCATGTAGGGAGTCTTAGTAATACAAACTAATAATGCCAAGTGATGGAGTCCAGGTGGATGGATTTAAATTAGCAAGCAGCAACCTAGATTTAAATATTGATCTTTCTTTGCATTACTTCCCTAAAGTAGTGTTGATATGTCATTGGTTTATATAAGACACATCAAATTAGAGCTCAATAGATGATTTACAGTAAGTTGGCACTAAATATAGTGCATTTTACCAGGATCTAATTAACATTCAGAGTCTTAACTTTTGTTTTATGTTAGAAAATGGTAAACTTAATTTACTAATCAGATTAATTATTTCACTAATTATTTGTGGTGCGTTACTATTTGGATGAAAATCTGAATTCTATTAAGATTGTAACCCCCCCTCCCTCAGCACTTTTAAACTATTCTTAAACTAAATAAAATTACATTAAATATGCTGGGTATAAAAACCTCCAACCTTTATAACAATGTTTTGTGTTTTAAAACCTTCGCTTATAAGCAGAAGAATTTAGTGAATTGAACAGATTTGCTTCTGGTCCTCATCCCTCAGGATTTTGGAATTGATGCATGTCATCCTCTTACAAATACTGTATAGGTTGGGAGACAAACTGTCCTGCTGCTTCAGCTCCCATTGGTTGCTTAACTTTGCATAAATATGCTCAGCTAAACTGAAACAAAGAAAATATTCTCTGCACCTGTAAAAGAGATTTTGGTTCCAACAACATGTTTAGCATTTCAGCAGGCTCTGGTTCCAGCTCCTTAGGGACTTTTAATTTAAAAAAACAAAAAAAAACATCCTATTTCTTTCATGCCAGCTGGGGTGTTCATGATGCCAATATTTCTTGCAGGGGTGGGGCAGCACAATATGCGTAAGGATTTGCTCAGTCTAGCACCTTTTTAGTTAAACCTTGTTTCGTGACCAGAAACAAAGTAATAGCTGATAATAACAAATTTAGGGAACAAGTCTTGCAGAGGCATTTCCCAGGCTCATCTCTCATTCATAGTCCACAGAGCCAGACTGCTTTAAATTAAAAAAAAGGAAAGGGAAAAAAGCTTTCTCTGTAGCAGAGAAACATCCCCAGTGAGGTTTCTTCATTGGAGAATCAATAGTGAAAGAATTTCATGATAGGAGATAGAAACAAGATATTACATACTAGTGAAGGCAACTGGGTATGTGGTACGAATATATAACAGGAACTGGAAATTGGACTTGTGAGTTGATCCGTCTGATTGGGTAGTATCAGGACAGGTATGGTGCCTCTAACTGGGGATGAAAAGAGTGTCTCATTTTAAATAATTTCAGCTGACTTGAAGAACATTAGAAGGAAGACTGTCACTGTAAAATGAAGCATTTAGGAGTGAGAGTTAAAGGGAGTGGACCAGGTAATCTTCATCAATGATCTTTGATTAGGAAGTCCAACATTCAAATAATCCACCCTGACTTTATATCAATTCCAAGTCTTACCTGTGCTACTTCAAGCTGAAAAATACGTGTAAAGTTTCTCCATCATTGTTTACAATGATACCTTGTAATCATGGAAGCTGGTTAAAAACGAAGCGCAAATAGAAGAAATTGTTTTCCTTTACAATTAATTGGGAAGTTACTCACCATTATCACTTGCCTTTTTGGAGCAATTTGTTGTTAAAGGAATAAAAAGGGAACGCTACAATGCCCTCTACTGGTCTGTTCCCACAACAGCATTGTGCATGGAAGACTAGAAAGACTGGCAATGAGAGGAGCAAGTACTGAGCAGTGAGCTTCCTTCTGACTATTTTTAATATACCTGTAGTCATAAGACTCTTTTTTTTAACCTGTATCCTCCATCTCCAGATTCAGTGATGTGAATACTTATAAGTTACCCCTTTTTGATAGTTACCTATATAAAAAAGCATTTAAAAATGTACGATGACTTCATAGCCTTAGGGCCAGTAGTTCTACAGGTGCAAAATTACAAATAGCTATGCATTATCAGAGTTTCTGTTGCTTAGTAACAAGAGCTAAGCTTGTAAATCTAACTGGATAAATTTGATTTATTTTAGTTTTTTTTCTTTCTTGCAGTTTATACAGAACATATTGACATTTACATGCATTTTGTTTTCTATTTAGCTGATATGCTTTAGAGTCTTTTATTCTGGACATCCGTTGATATCTCTTTGGTCACCTTGCTCGTAGCATTTGTTTTCTGCTGGGGTGAACAGGCATGCATTCTGGTATGAATATTTGTGCAAGCAAGTTTTAAATTTGTTCTGACATTGAAATCTATAATTCTCTAAATTTTTTAGTATGGCGATTTTCCCTTTTTTATGGAAACTCATTTTTAAATGTTGAGTTTTCAGAGAATGACTTGCTCATCTCTACTTGTAACATAAATAAAATTGCAGACTAAACCCTGATCCTGCAAGTATTTTAGACGTGTGCGTAGCTCAGGGAAACTACTCTTATTTAAAAAAAAATTTGAAAAGCATATACATAAATGCTTACAAGGTCTAAGTTCCAAATGTCACAGAATCTTCACACTTGTATATATTGTGACAATTAAAATAAAATTGGCTCATTGCAGTCTTTTAATCTAGTGATTAGTGAACCTTCCTAAGGAAGCTGGGATATGCAGTTTTAGATGATGATTAATGTGAAGATCTTTTTCCTTATTTACTATTTTAATTAGATTCAGTAGTTTATTTTTTTGCATGAATATCATTGAAAGAGCTGTTGATTTCTTTGTTATTTTTGAAAGACTGTGCTTAGCAACTGTGTATGTGTGGGTTTTTTCTTTTTTTTTTTTCTTCTTCCTTTTTAACTGTTGATAGTTTCATAGATGTTAGGATTGGAAGGGACCTATTAGATCATCGAGTCTGACCCCCTGCCCCGGGCAGGAAAGAGTGCTGGGGTCACATGACCCCAGCAAGGTGTCTGTCCAATCTCCTTTTAAATTCCTCCAAGGAAGGGGACAGTACCACCTCCCTTGGAAGCGTATTCCATGTTTCGGCAACCCTCACTGTAAAGAATTTTTTCCTGATGTCCAGTCTGAATTTGCTCTCTTTCAGTTTGTGGCCATTATTTCTAGTTATCCCAGTGTTGCATAGAGGGGAAGTATCACCTCCCCGGACCTGCTTGTGATGCACCTACTTACTAAAGAAAGGGTGTGGTTAGCTTTACTTATTACCACATCACACTGGTGACTTGTGTTCATTTTGGAGCTGATTATGACTCCGAGATCCCTTTCTGCAGTTGTGCTACTTAGATTGGTCCCTCCCAGGCTATAGGGGTGTTGATGATTTTTCCTCCCCAGGTGCAACACATGACACTTATCCTTGTTAAACTGCATCCTATTCTGTTCCGCCCACTTCCCCAGCCTGTCCAAATCAGCCTGGATTCGCTCCCTGCCCTCTAGTTTGTTTACCTCCCCTCATAGTTTGGTGTCGTCAGCAAACTTGGACAAGGTGCTTTCTACTCCCTCATCCAAGTCACTAATGAAGATATTGAATAGTACCGGTCCCAGGACAGAGCTTGGGCTGTGTAATAATCTATGTTGCAACTGTTTATTTATAAGAATTGGGTGTAACACTGTCAAACGCCTTTTTAAAATCTAAGTAAATAATATCTACCTCTATTCGTTCATCCAAGCGTTTTGTAACCCGGTCATAAAATGAAACCAGGTTAGTCAGGCAGGATCTGCCTGCTGTGAACCCATGCTGATTGCCCCTTAGCATTATTTTACCCACTGGTCCTCCACAAATGTGATTCTTAACAATTTTCTCCAAGGTTTTGCCAAGGCTAGAGGTGAGGATAACCAGCCTGTAGTTACCTGGTTCCTCCTTCCTCCCCTTCTTGAAAATAGGGACCACACTGGCCCTTTTCCAATCCTCCGGGACCTGTCTTGAGTGCCACGAGTACTCAAAGAGTTGTGCCAGCGGATCAGCTATGACTCCAGCTAATTCCCTAAGTACCCTAAGATGAGGATCTTTAATAATCTTTAAGAATTGATCATCTTTAAATTGGGCTATACTGCGATCCTACTCTTTATTTTCAACCTGAAGTGATAGGCTTAGGATTTAAAATATGATAGCTGAAGCAATTACATTGATGCATAGTTCTTAGGGTTATTACTGATGGTGAAGAAATTAATAAATTTCTGGTAAAATGAGTTTTAGGCAATGGACAGGTGTTCAATTGTAGCTCTGCAAATTTCTGATGAACTTGCAGCTCTGTGAAAATGTGGCAAGGGGTGGGAGGTTATAGGCACTCTAGCTCCTTTGCTGAAAATCACCTGGGGAAGAGGAGGTGGCTGTCAATGATTAGTTGGCAGTGGCTGAAAAGCAGCAGCTGCCAAAGGAGATGGAGACCTCCATCTTCTTGCTTCTGCCAGCCCTGAAAGTGCTGCTGTTAGAACCCCAGCTCTTGCCAGGCCTTTGCAGTGCTGGTGGGAATTTCCTCTTTCTAAACCTTCACCCTACCCTGTCTTCGTCCCTTCCCCCGTCATCTTGCCTGCCAACTCTACCTGTTGTGATCAGCAGAGAGAGAAAGTGGGGGCGGAGGCATTAGGGTTAAGATGAGGGAATTCTTGAGACCCTGCCACTTCAGCAGTCCCAGGACTGTTTAGGGGGTAGCATGACTACAATGTCATTGTGGATGAAAATGAATTAATACTTCCCTCTCTCTCCCCCGCCCCCAACCCCTATAGTTGTGATACTTTTCCAGTCTCCTGCTTAGTGTTAAATTTATTAGGATATTTTGGACTGATCTAAATCGGAGTACAAATTCATATAGAGTATTAACCAGTTTTTGTTTCTCATAGGTTCTTCTCCCAGCAGCTGGTCTGTTACAGTTGCAGGATGTGAAGAGGACTTGCTGTGAATTTTTGGAATCCCAGCTTCATCCGATAAACTGCTTGGGGATTCGTGCATTCGCAGACATGCACGCATGCACAGATCTGTTGAACAAGGCCAACATGTATGCAGGCAAGTAGTGCATCTTCTCAGGTATATGTTTGTACCAAGATACTTTCTCTACTTGCTACTGAAGGCTAATTTTAGCCATGATAAAATGTAATGTAATTTAATATCAGAGAGTCGTCTGGCCAAAATGTTCATTATGTTCATTATCTGTTCAAAATGTTCATTTCCATTTTGGCCCTTAACCACTCTATGGGGAAGTGCATCTTCATGTTCTGTAATCTTGATAGCTAGGAGCCAAGAAACTAATAACTAGATGTTGTTCATAGTTATAATAATGAGTAATGTATGGGAATCTGTTTCGGGGTGGCGTAGCATGAAAATATAGTGCCAACAGAAATGTATTTAAAATTTCAATCATCTTTGAAACAATTAGTGAGTACATGGCTATGTTGCAGGTGTGCTTGTTACTGCTCTTTTTGAATTTGCTGCCACAAGTGAAATGCTTAAATGTATTGTGGAAGAACATGCGGGACGTTCCACATAGTCTGTGTCTTGCTGGTAACTCTCAAGTGACATAAAAGTAATAAGAGGAAGTGAGACATACAGTGCACTGACTGGATGTTGTGCTGTATTTCTTTTTCCAAAACCCTGTCTGGCATGCTTCAAGTTTGAACTTCTGCTGCAGAGTACCTGGAGAGCCCATTTTCTAGCTGATTATAATATTCACTACTGCAAGAGACAAGCTATCTACCTATTCCCGTCTATCTGTGAAGAACATTGGCCTGATCATGGTGTTTCTCTGAGCTGTTTAGAAGTTATCATTCAGCTTTCTGCATTTTCCTGATTCTAATTTTTATCATGAGTTAATTGAAGATGGACTTTTTTAAACTTCAGCAGTGGAAAGTTGTCAAAGCTGTGGAAAGTTGTCAAAGCTTGATAGAACTTTCATTCTAAAATGAGGTTCTCATGCCATTTCACTAAATACAAATCCCATTTTGGATTACAGTAAAGATAACAGGAATGGTTGTATGCAAGATGTATAAAGTAACTATTCTGTTCTAATTGCCTCTGGTGAAGACATCAGCTGGAGTACTGTATCCTGTTTAGGGAACTACATTTTAAGGAAGATGTAAACAAAGTGGAAGGAATCTAACAGGCTTAGAAAACAACCAGTGAGAGAAGGCTGAAGGAATGAGTTTGCTTAGGAAAGAGAAGACAGAGAAGACACGTTGGGAGACTTAACATATGGAAGATTGCTTATAACAGGGAAGAGGGTGATCAGTTTTTCTCGAATGAAGCAGTAGCTAGGGATGTTGTGGGATCCCCTTCATGAATGTTTTAAGAACAGCTTAGAAACTTTTCTATTAGGGGAAAGTCTAGCTATACTTGTTTCAGTACTGGGAGTTGGACTAGATCAGCGGCCAGAACCTTTTTCAGGTTGAGGGTAAGAATGACTCAGCTTGGGGCAGAGGTGGGTGGGGGTTAGGACTCGCCCATTGTCACGGGTTTTCCCTGCCGCAGGGAGTTGTTCTAAGGGCACTTTTTTACCTTGCATGTTTTCCTGATGCTATGAAGTTTAGTAATTGTCAGAATTGCATTATAGAACATGGAAAAAAGATGTCCTAAAAATATAATTTAACCTTGCAATACATTTTATAGAACCAAACAATTCTGGTAAAACAGAGACTTGTCTAGTTGGGGTAAGGCATCTCCCCTTGCTTACTACTTCAGCATATTGAGGCCTTGATACCAGATTTGGGCCAGAAGACAGAAATAACCAATAGCTAAATAAAAGAAGGGTTGATATGTCCTTGTCTGGATTCCAGCTTATTAGTCAGAATGGTAATGCGATTTGAGTATAGTGCTATGCTTTAATTGTATCCAAATACTAGTGAATACTAAAATAGATTTGAAATGTTTCCAAAACTATATGTTACAGTGTCATGTGTTGCAGGTGACTTGCTAGTGTACCTCTTTATCTGAAATTTTAGCTGTCTGCGCAGTCATGCATTGCTTACTGTCTTTTCAGTATTTTTTTGCACATTGGATCAATGTATCTGAGTTAGTTTCCACCTAAATACTGTATCTTTCACCTTCTACACCACTTTCCTCTATATCTGACAACATCTGTGTTCTCCTTGTCATTCAGGTTTCAGTGTTCTCCTGGTCAAAAACTTAATATCTTTTAACTCCTCATGGATACAAGGTCCTACAAAGTTCTGTTTGTTCAGTTTGTTCTTCTGCGTGTTATCGCCTTTTTCTCCGTGTAATGACCATCTCCACACCTCTTATGTTACCTACCCCACCTTCTTTGCAGCACTAAACTTGCTACTTACAATGTTACCTTCCTCCTCCTGCTCAGATGATAGTACAATTTCATTGTTCCTTCTTGTACTTCAAGCTCCTTGTCCTCACCTTTTAAAGTTCAGCATAATTCTGCCCCCATTTATATCTTTCCCTTCATATTTTCTGACTCCCATTTTCTTTTCATCTTGGCTTTATTTTTAGACTGTCTTCCTTCTCTCCATATCCTGACCGTCCCTCAGCCTTGGGCCCACATCAGAGTGTTGATGGTGCCTGGGCAACCCAGGCAGGTGTTCCCGGGGCTTCAGAGGCCTCATCCTGGAGTACTTGCCCAGGGCAGCCAGAGGCAGCTGCAGGCTGACTATGCTGTCCTGTCATAAACCTAATAGACATCTGCCACAATGCAGTGACACAAATTGATACCACCTGTGTTGCGGCCACAAATTTTGGGCCTTTGTGGTGCATCGAGAAGTATGGATGTCTGCTTGTTTGTTTGCTTGGCCTTTGTCTCCCCATAAATATTTTTATGATGAGACAGGGCAAACATCTGTTTCAGCCCTCAGATATTCAGAATCAAATGGCAAAATTTAATTGCTTGGAGACAAAGTACTCACCTCTGCCATAAGACTTCCTCAAGGGAGAATGTTAATAGGTATTGTTTTGTTTTGATTCATTGTTAGGTTGGAATGTAGGCAGTATTACGGTGGATCTCCGTTAAATCGGCAGAAGTCAGGGTAGATTTGCATCTTAGACTAAATCAGAGATGCGAAAGCTTTTGTGAACCCAGGCTCACTTCATTAGATGCTGGGAAAGGATATGGACAGAGCAGTATATTGAATAGTGTGGTTTGAATACAAAAGACAAGGAAAGCAGAGGAGGCAGGAGGGAGCACTGCAAGGAAAGGCAAATACATATCAAACTCAAAGAGACAAAGGGCTCCAAAAAGCTAATTCAGGTAATGGAATACGAGTCTGTAGACTCTGTTTATACCGTATTTAACACAGCCCAGTCTGAATGATTTCTTTTTCCGCAATTTTGCATTCAGGTTTGTTTTTACTGAGCACAGGAGCTCTGAGGTCAGCAATGGCATGTCCAGGGAGGTTATAGTGTTCTTCCACAGGCTTGCGGGTCTTTCTGGAAATGACATCAGATTACTGGTCATTCATTCTTACATGTAGGGGCTGCCCTGTCTCAGTTAAATAGGTCTTATTTTTCCTTCTTGCCAGAAAAGTCCATCCTATTAATCTTTTCCACCTAGATGTCCCAGCTATGGTCTTAAGTATGAATTTAGATATTAAATAAAATACTTAAAGGTATTGTTAGACCCCAACCTCCATGTGGTGACCAATGACTAGGAAGATGATCCAATTGCTCATAAATCCTGTTACTCATTAGCCAGAGCAAGCAGGGAGCAAATGCTACTTGCACACATTACTCGCAAAAGCTTTATTTAGAATGGAGACAGCTTTGGGGAAAGGTCCCAAAAAAACTAACAAACTGGGGACATGCCCTGAACATTAGTTCTTTTTACATTTTATACACCTTGGTTCATACATATTAATATTTGTTCCACCTCTGTCCCTCCTTTTGTTCCACCCATTTCTCCTCCCATCTCAAGTTCTGCCTCTGTTTACTGCTTACTTCATTAGCATGGGCTCGCCTATGCAGTTCCTTCATTTACATGCCTCTACTAAGAGCGTACACGTAAGACTTTGATTTCTGCTTCTCTCAGTCGCTTGCTGGTTCTTTCTGGTTTCTTGCTGACTCCTTCATCTCCAAGGTCTTGGTTCTACCTTATCTCCTGACAATAGCTGGTAGACTTCATCTTGTTCTCCTTGCACAGGGAATCATGCATCTTGCACACTATCCTGTTGTTAGAAAACTGCTTGCTTAAGCATTTGCATAGTTACTTTTTTTAATATATCATCCTGCCTTGTGATCAGCAGCTTTTGCTGACACAGAGGAAAAAGCCTTTATTCAGCTGCACACCCAGTGCTCCCCAAAATCTAAATAGTGTCACCCTAACAGGTATATTTTCCTTTTTACCTTGTAAAGTGTTTTTTTCATAGAAACTGTTACGTGAGACTGAAAGGCGGACACTGGAGTGTGTGCCTGGGACACTGATCACTTATAGTGAACCTAATGGGGTGAACAGTTGTTAGGCCTCCTAAGGTGACCAGAGCCTTTCTTAATTATCTCTGATGGAGGTGGGTTTTGGGGCTGGGAATGCACATAGGACTACAACCCGCCCTCATGCACCCTATAATGGAACTATTGTGGAGACTCGGGAAGGTTTATAAATATATTGTAAAATCACAAATACAACAAAAATAAGAACATTAACGAGTAGGAATAGTGCACCTGTTATATACACTGGTTTGACTGTAACACTATAAGCAAGACTGCCAAAGAGGGCAGTAGCAGGCAGAGTCAGGGCCTTCTCAAGGCTCACTGAACCACTGTGACAACCAAGCCCTCAGTCTTTTCCACACAGTGTACTCAGACTGACAGTGAGGGGAAGGTTGATATTTGTCAACTCCAACTGATGATTGAGGTCCCAGATGAGTACAGGTAAGTCTCCAATCAAGTAGTCCAAATAATCCAGTAAGTCACCCTTCATACACTCTGTTGCAAGCAATACAAACTCAACCAAGCCCTCTCAAAATCAATCATCAATCAGTAAACCAACCAACTCAATCATGCACAGTATGCCATCACCACAGTTGTCTTAGTCTTCAACTCGCATATACCAGTCATTC